TTGCATGCATGTCATTGTTTTCATCAAACATTGCATTACATTAATGGACATTATTATTACTTTTCTAGGCTAAGAATAATGATTTTTTTTTGTTCTCTCTTTGTTTGAACATGTTTTTTTTTGAAGCTTTAAATCCTCATCAGTATTCTTCATGGTTAAGCTTTGTCATGCACATTATAATGACGCCCACCACCACCATCTGAATTGTAATGCGCGTACGCTTATGATCCATGATGATGATTATTGTTCATTCAACTCCCCCGCTACAGAAAAAAAAAACTTCACCAGTTGTTTTCTCGATTCTTTTGATGATGATGATGATCATCATCATGACACACACACATGGATGAATGAACGAAATGATCCGTTACGGATTCACGAATTGATGGAGAGAGAAGACATTCCTGTACGATATGATAAAAGTTTTTTTTTTTTTTTTTTGGTTAAAATTTATTATAGAGAATCCTATTAACAACAACAACAAATGGGGAAACGGAATTATTGGTTTCTATTGAAGAAAACTACCAACAACAACAACAAAAATGAATTTGATGATGTTGTTCTGCGCAGTGTAGTTTCTTCAAATAAATGTCCAATAATAATGATCAATATTGAACAAAACAAAAAACGAATTGAACAAAAAAAACTAGTTCAATTTCGTACAGTACACTTTGGAGTAAAGTAGGCGGTAACCAAATTATTCACATTATTGAATGAATGTGAATAATGGAGGATGTACCCAAAAAAAAAAAAAATACCCAACACACCATTCAGAATAAACAAAAAAAAAACATGTTTTTTTTTGAAAAGATTAAGGCCACACCTCCAGGTTTGTATTGTTTGTTCATTATTTGTTCATATTTGAACAGAACAAAAGAAAAACACGCCCATTTTTTTTCTACAATAATGATAACAACAGACATATATTACATACACAAACACACACAGAAAACAAATGTTTGAAAAGTAAGTAAGTAATAAAAGAGGATTATTGGAATATATCTTTCAACTATTGCTGAATTTTTTCGTTTCGTTGTTGTTTCTGCTTTATCATTCCTTGAATTTATTATCCTCTCTCTCTCTCACTCACTCTCTATGTTTAGCTTAGCTGAATAAAATCAACGAAAACGTGGCCACCATGACCACCACCACCACTACAACCATATTACCACAACAACAACAACGATTGCAAGAAAAAAAAACAAAAGTTTTTTTTTTTTAATATTTTGGCCTCTCATCAAGAGAAACGATGATTATAAACACACATACATTCACTCACTCACATACATGAATAATATTCAGATCAGATCATCCAGATTCACAGTGGGTTATCAACATTCTCTATGATCGTGGTCAGTTAACGATACTTATATCATCATCATACCTTTACCATCCATATATGTGCAAAAAAAACATATTGAAATCGAAACCTGGGTGGACAATATTTTTTTTTTGAATATAATATCTTCAGTGTGCATGTAATGTAGCCAGCAAAAAACTATTTAGTAACTGAATGCAAAAAACTGTTATAATTTGTGTTTTTTTGGCCAAAATAATAATCATCCCGATGTTGATGATGATCATCATCATCATTTGATGATAATATTCACAGCGTGTGCGCTCAACCCAACAACAAAATCATTATTATCATCATCATCAACAACGTCGATTGAATGAATGAAAATTTATCAAAAAAAAATAAGATTTTTCTGTTGTTTTTCTTCAAAAAAAAATTTACTCATTGTAAATGTGTTTGTTTGTGTGTGTGTGTGAATATCCTCGATATTAAAAAAAATGGAATCCCAAATAATAATCTTTACATGTGGATCATCAAATCATCAAATATGAATATCTTTTCCATCCAGATTTTCCCTAAAAGAGCTTAAATAATCTCTGTGAGCTTCTTTCTTCTTTCTTCTCCAGTTAGTTTGTTGACATTTTTTTCTTCTGTTTTGCAACAAAATTTTCACTTGTGACAAACATTTTGGCCTTTTTTTTTACTTATTTATTTTCAAATTTCAGGTGTTTGTTTGCTTGTTGATGATAATAAATCAATGATAATAAGCTTATCATGTTGAAAAAAATTGTTGCCGGTGTTATTATCGTTGTAAATTGAAATTTTTTTTCGTGTTCAAAGTGTTGCTAAAGACGACTATCAAGCAAGGAGAAAAAACCGATCAAGTTTATTATCATCCATAAAAGTTAATGATTTGCGTCTTGATAAATGTTTGTTGTTGTTGTTGTCGTTTGAAAACACGTGCAACATTTTATTTATCTTGTAGTTTTGATCGAATTGATAAAAAAAACTGGATAAAATCTTGCTTTTTTTCAGTGATGATGATATTGAAAGATGCTTAATCCTTTTGTTCAAAGTATTTTAATAACATCATCATCTCCACCTTTATCACCACCATTACAATCATCATCATCATTTCATCATCAATATGAATATGAACGACAATTAAAAATGAATTATTTTAGCCATCAACATCAACAACAACAACATCAAGAATCATTTCGTATTAAAAGAGAAATATTTGATCATTCAGATTCAATGTCAACAACAACAACGTCGACATCGATATCACCATTTTCATCTACATCATCTGCATCATCATCAAAACAGGAAACAATGTTAAATATTGGTGATTTGCAGACGCAACAACAACAAAATTCAACATTGATTGATCGTCAAACAATGTTTGTTCCAACACAATCATTAACGGATAATCATCATCAACAACAACAACATTTAAAAACTGATTTATTTTCATCACCACCATCATCATCTACATTTGATGAAACACATATGGATGATGATCTTCAACAATTAACAAATTTAAATCCATCATCATCATCATCGGCGACAATAACAACGACGTCGTCGACAACAACAACAACGTCTTCGACATCGTTAGTTGCAACTGCGGCTACTGTAACATCAATGTATCATCGTGCGGCGGCCGCAGCAGCAGCAGCTGCCGCTGCTGCAGCCGCAGTTTCTGTCAATGTTGATCATCATCATCATAGTCATCATCAACATTTAAATCATTTGAATACAAATTATTCACCATCACATCATCATATTGCACAGCCACCACCATTATCATCACATCCGCATCATCATCATCAACAAACAAATGATTTCAATAATACAACATCATCCGCATCAAACGCATCAACAACAACAACAACAACATCGGTTGTTGGATCAGCAATGGTTGCTGCGGCTGCTGCTGCACATCATTATGGACATTTAGCAACAACAATCAATCCAACAATACATCATCAAAGTGCTGCATTATTTCGTTATATGTGCCATAATAATAATAATTCATCATCAACATCATCATCACCAACAACAACAACAACATCGACAATAACAACAAACAATTCAAAACAAGAATTAATATGTTTATGGATAGATCCAGAACAATTATTGCCTTTGAAAAAACCATGTAATAAAATATTTCATTCAATGCATGAAATTGTATCACATATTAGTATTGAACATGTTGGTGGACCTGAATGTTCGAATCATACTTGTTTTTGGATTGATTGTCCACGAAATGGACGACCATTTAAAGCAAAATATAAATTAGTTAATCATATACGTGTACATACAGGGGAAAAACCATTCCCTTGTCCATTTCCATCATGTGGTAAAGTATTTGCACGTAGTGAAAATCTTAAAATACATAAACGAACTCATACAGGTATGTTTTGTTTAATTATTTTCTTTTATTATAAACCAAAAAAACAAAACAAAACAAACGAAAAATTCATCATTGAATTCATTCGCTTCAAAATGTTCGTGTTTAATGCCAATTTTGAGGTTTTTTTTTCGCTAGACCAATATTTTTCCTTCATCGTTTATATGTGTGTGAAACCAGAAATAACATTTAAAAAAATCATAATAATAATTTAAACTCATAAATTAAACAACCAAGAATAGTAATAGGAAGAAAAAACCTACCTACAATCACCAAGAGAGAGAGAGAGAGAGAGAGAGAGAGAGAGAGAGAAATTCTGAACTACATTTATGATGATGACTACTGCCAATTTTTCGTTGTTGTTGTTGTTTTCATTTTGAATATTGATCATTGGCAAGAAAAAAAAGGATCATATCACATCATCAATCGATAAACTTGAAAAATGTTTCGAGCTTCTTTACTTTTACTATCAATTTGTTGTTTTCATTATTCAAAAATCATTGATTATGAATTTTCTTGTTTTGCCTTTAGGGTGAATATTTTTTTCTTCTTCTTCATTTCATTCCTTTAATGGCATCAATTCTTTTGATGGTATTTTCATTTTTTTCATTCTCTCTCTTGTTTTAAACATTCAGAAATAAAGATGAATTTTATTTCAAGTTTCATTTCTCTTTATTGAAATTAATACATCTTGTGCATTTTGTCTGTTTTTTGTTTTTGTTTTTTGGTTTGTTTCAGTATGCAAACCATGAACATCTTGAAAGATGGGTACAACATATACCATAGATTCATCACAGGGTTTATACGATGATTACGATGGCAAAATAAAACAGGAAAAATTTCAAGTTTCACTTGAATTTATCAATGTTTTTTTTCGTTGTTCGTTTTATTATAGCAACATTTGGCTTGAAGATTTTCTTAGAAACGATTTTTTTTTATATTCATTCGTTTGATGAAGAAGTTAGCTAAGTTTTTTCTAACAAAAAAGAAAACTATAGTCAGGGAAATTATATGATCATTGTGTGTGTGTGTGTGTGATTGGAATTTATTCATCTCAATAAAATGAATGATTATTGTTTTTCAATTTCAATGAAGAAATGAGAATTACGTAAACAATTTTGCTTCAATGGACACTGCCCATCATCATTCGATCTGATTTGATCTGATCATTTCATTGTTTTTTCGACCATTCTCTCTCTCTATATAGAAATCGTTGTTTTTGTTTTTGTTATATAGTTTGTCACTAATGAATGAATTTTCCTTAGTTTTTTTCCACGCTATAATGTTGAGAATTTTTGGAAAGCTTTTTCTTAATCAAAAAACCAAAAACAAAAAGGTCGAACCCAAGTTTTTGAAAAATTGTCCAAATGAAGAAAAAAAAATCATCAGATGTAGATTATTCGTTATGTTTTTTTTTTGATGATGGATTATGTTAATTTTTTCCCTTTTCCTAAAATGAAATAAAATTTCAATTGTTTTTTTTCACATATGCAAAACAAAGTACAAGCAAGCAGGCAAGAATAAAATGAATGATCATCATTATAATGTCTTTTTTTTCCAACCATAATTGGTTTGTTTGTTTGTTTATCTGTTTTTCTTTTTGTTATGTTCACACACACACAATGATTGTAACCTGTGTAATTGATACTATATGGTGGTGGATAAGTTATATTTTTGAAAAAGGAAACAAGAAACAAAAAAAATTCAGATTTGTATCATCTCGAAGAAACAAACCAAAAGACAATGAAAGATGACAATGATTTATGATTTATTTCTTTTGGAAACAAAATCAAAGTTTCTAGTTGATCAAAGAGAGAGAGAGAGAGAGAGAGAGAGAGAGAGAGAGAGAGAGACAAGACAATACTTCACTTACTGAATATATAATAATGTTATTTGGGCGCGACTTATCAAGAAAAAAAACTTTTGTTTTGTTTTGTTTGTTTATATTGGTTATTATTTGAGAAAAGGTCCAAACGATATATATTGGGACATTTGATTGTCACTAAGTGAATTGAAAAAAACAATGCAAAAGAAAGTTTCAATTTTTCAATGTTTTTTTTCCCAACAAAATAAGAAAAAGCAAAAGAAAATGACCATATTCTACATACAAATGTAAAAACAAAACAGAAAAAAAAACTATTAACTTTGAAAATGAATTTTGTTGGCAAAAAAAAAAGTTCAATATGTGTCACACCTGAAAATTATTGTTATTATTATTATTATATGGCCAGAGGAAGGTACGATTTTAATGATTATTGTCAAAAAAGGTAAATGTGATTTTTTACCTAAATGATCAATGACCATTGATGATGATGATCATCATCATGTTTGAATGAAACATTACTGAAGAACCAAACCAAACCAAACCAACCAATAATTGATTCGATACGTTTGGTTTGATTTTTATTTCTTTCTTCGAATATAAAAAATCTATTTCATTTGTTTCAATTTTCAATATGTAAAACTGACAAACAACAACCAAGAGCATTTGGACTGCTTTTTTCTCTACTCGAAACACCTATGGGTAAAATTTTTCAGTCCGGAAATTCTTTCTTTTGAGAATTTCTCCCAGAAAAACAAACAAACATTGTAGCCAGATCTTTTCCCAACGAATAATAATGACATTTTCAAAAATTAATTAATTGACTTTTGATCTTCATTTTTTGCCACACTTTTTTTCTCGTTCTTTGCGATTCACATTTAAATTCATAGCTGAATCAAACAAAAGTTTCAATTACCTTGGGTCTAGTGTGTGTGGTGGAAAGGTAGTTTTTTTTAAGAAAATCCACTTCATCTTCATCAAATTGTCGATGATGATGATGATGATGATTGGCCAGTTTTCAACAAACAACCGAAACAAGTAGGCAAATTAATTCGTGACTAGCTAATTTTTTTTCTACATCCATCCAATTTTCATTTTATAATTTGTTTTAATTGTTTTTCTTCACTCTCAGGTTTCTCTATGTTGACAAGCATCTGCTCACTTCTTCATTTTTTTGGTTCTGGTTTTTTTAAAATTTAATTTTCTTCATCCTCTAATGAAGTGATGATAACTCTGTTTTCATCTCATTATTTTCGAATCAATTTTTTTGGTCGTTCTTTTTTTCAAACAAAAATTTCATAATTCGATTCTAATTAAATATTCATTCATCAAAGAGAAACTTGTTTTGTGTTCAAATTTGAAAACTGAAAATTACTATGTCTGACCAATAAACTGATTGAAAAATGACCAATAATTTACAACGATTTTCCATTGATCAATATGAAATACAGTTCATATTAACAAACCAATCATCATTCTGACATTTAATTATTTCATCATTCACAACAAAAATTACATTATTTTCACTATATATTTCCATACGAAAAAAATCTCAAAAGATGAAAAGATCAAAATTCACACACACACACACCCATCTTTAACAATCTCAGATGTTGTTTTCTGTAATGATGAAAGCAAAGCCCAAAAAAACAAAAACACCAACACTGAACAAATACGAAAAAAAAACATATTGAATGTTCTATATAGGAAGAAAAAAAAAGATTCAATGAAAGAAATTGTTTCCAGAAAATACAAAGCGAACAAAGTGAATTGCGAATTAAAATACATTGATGATGATGTGTGTGTTGATCAACAAAAAAAAAACTGTCATAAACAGAGCAACATCAAACATTTTTGAAATGATTTTTTTTTTCGTTGTTCTGGTTGTTCTGGTTGTAAATACGACCTCATGCAGTGTATGTTGTGTAAGTTTTTTTTTTCATATATAAAAAACTTTCAAAGACAATTCTGGTTTTGATAATTCTTTCATTTCATTCCATTCAATGATGATGGGTAGGTTTTTATTATTATTATTATATAACATTCAGAATGGATTGGAAAATACTTTTTTTCAAGCAAACAAACAAACAAACAAATTCGACAATCAAAAAAATGAAACATTTCTTTTTCTGGGTTGTTCAAAATATCATCATCATCATTAAGCGATATAGCCGAACCAAAAAAGCACACCCATTTTTTCATTTCTTTAAGATTTTTTCAAAAGAAAACCAATGTTTTCTTCGTTTGGTAAACATCATTATTATCATGTTTCTCGATTTGAATTTCTTTCGTTGTTTTTTCGTTAATTACGTTTTCATTCATGTTTTTTTCTGCTGTTGTTGTTGTTGATTGCCAATTTTTCTTTGAAAAACATCTTGAAGAATCATTCTTGAGAGAATTTTTTTCCCTCCATTCAAAGATTTATGATTTTGCACAAAGCCAGAAAACTAGAAAACCAGAGATTATATTGATCGATTGTTTTTCTTTTCTCTCTATTGTGTTTTTTGGTTTGGGTTTGGATTTGAATTTACAAATCAAATGTTGATGGAAATAATTACAATTCATCATCCAAAAAAACCCGGCTAAACTCAATAATATTTAGTCGGTGGGGTTCGTTCGATCAATACGATTGATCGATCAATCAATCAATCCAGTCGAATACACACAAATCCATCAATCAATCAATCTGGCACATTTTTTCGATCATCACATTCATTCAATCATTTTATTCGTTTCAACGTTGTTTTTCAGGAAAAAAAATAAATCGTTGAATAATTTGAATTTTAAAATGGTTTTTTAAAATGAAAAAAAAAACATTTAGTTATTATGAAAAAAAATTAGATAACAGATTGATTAACTAGGGAAAAAAACAAAATCCTCTTATCTTGTTTTGGTTACATGTGGTACACAACAACAATGATTTTAAATCAAAAATCTTTTTCTCCAATTTGAAATTCGTTGAATTCAATTTGTTTTTTTCAGAAGAAAAAAACATGATTCAAATCCATTAGCAAATGGGTTATTTTTGGGTTTATTTGTTTTAGACAGAATGAGAAAAAAAAAGAATGTAATTTTTGGATTTTTGAAATTCTTAAGTAAATTTTTCTGTTTAGTTTGAACAAATTTTTGTTTTGGTTTTGGTTTTGATAATCTTAAATGATAATAAAACAAACACACAAACCAATCATCACCTGATATGTTTGTTTGTTGTAATCTTTTGGTGACAAAATTCTTTCAAACAAGCTAAAAGGTAACACACAACTAGAATTAGGAAAAAAAATGGCCAAAGAAAACAACAACATAGAAGCCATTCAGATTCTTTCTTTCTTAGGTTTTCTCAAAAATGATCAACAAACGAAATGAAATGAAATTTTGTTTTTTTTCTAACCCAAACATATAATGCAGGTGTTGTTTATCACCATTTTTTTTCTTTTACCAATGATATATATAAAGAATGCCCTGAAGGTTTTTTGGAAGAAAAATTTATTTAATTTTTATTTTTTTGTTCTTTGAACAAAATCACTAAACACACACACACATTTACAAGATGACCACAACACCAGATAGTGAAACATTTCTTCTTCTTTTTCTTCATGTTTATTGTCCTTAAGAGTTTGGGAATATTTGTTGTTGTTGTTGTTCGAACAAGATTGTAATCTTGAAGAATGTTGTTGTTGTTGTAACTAATTTATTTTGTTTTTAAAGAAAGCAATGAAATAAAAAAATTGTCGTTTTTTTCTCTTAAACAATAATAATTCATAAATGACATTTTTCTCTGGGTTATTTTATCATTTATTTTGATCTGCAAGTTTTCTTGACTTATCAGTCAGAAATGAAAAATTATAGTGAATGGAATGTGTGAAAATAAAAAGGGTTATTTCTTTGGATAAAGGATTCAAAATTATGGCAATTTTATAACGAACATTTGAAGGTTTTTTTATTTTTGATCGAAAAAAGCAAAAATTCATAAAAAACAAAAACTAACAAGTTAATTAATTGATTAACTAATTTTTATCTTATCTTATCTTTTTTATCTTTCTCCACATATAAATTTTTTTTTGTAGGTGAAAAACCATTCAAATGTGAATATGATGGTTGTGAAAGACGTTTTGCAAATAGTTCGGATCGTAAAAAACATTCACATGTACATACAAGTGATAAACCATATAATTGTAAGATAAAAGGTTGTGATAAAAGTTATACACATCCTAGTTCATTACGTAAACATATGAAAGTACATGATAATAATAATTATAATAATAATAATAAACAACCAATGTCACCATTATCATCATCAACAACAACAACAACAACAAATAATAATCATCCTCATCAACAACAACAACATTTATCAATGGATAATATTATTGGACATAATTTGGATCAAACATCAATGACAAGTGGTGGTAATGGATATGAAAGTGATAATGGTGGTATCAATAATAACAATGGCCGTACATCATTATCATCAACATCATCAAGTCCATCAATTAGTAATAATAGTAGTAGTAATGGACCATCACATAATTATCAACAACAACATAATCATCTACTTACCGCAACAGCAACAACAACAAATTCATATTTATCATCATCATCAACATCACCTCATCATAATCATCATCAAAATAATAATAACCATTATCATCAAGGTATTCATCAAAACAATTTATTACATCATAATCAACAACAACAACAACAACAGCATCTAAATCATTCACATCATCAAATTACTAATAATAATCATCATCATGGACTAACAACATCATCACATTCACATATGATTCAACATATGCATCAACAACAACAACAACAACCGCAACATGCAAATTTTACAATGTCACCACCATTATCATCATCATCATCATCAACAACATCATCATCTATAACACCAACAATGGCAGCAACATCAATGTTAGCATCAACATTAGCTGTAAATAATATAAATAATAGTGGCGGTAATGGATTAATAACGGATCAACATATGTTGAATCATAATCATCAAACACATCATCATCAAACAAATGGACATCCACATCCTCATCATCCACATCATCAATGGTATCATACAATGTCACAAACAACAAATACAATGGTTCCATTTGGAACACATGGTCATGGTCATGTATCTAATGGACATTTACATCATACATCACCATCAACAACAAATCATAATCATCATTATGAAACAACACATTTAAATCAATTAAATCATCATCATCATCATCCTGCATTAAGTCATCATCATCATCATCATCATACAGCATTAACATCACCATTCCATCATCATCCACATCATCATCATCCGCATCTAAATGCTGCAATTTCATATTGATTTGATTTTGAAACAAACAAAAAAAAATTGAAACATATTTTACACGCACACAAAAGATGCCTAGTCAAATGAAAATATGCACAACTGAAGAAAACAACTTTCACATCTGCCATAGAATCATCATAAATAATAATAATATTGTATATCCAAAACAAACAAAACAAACGAAAAATCTCATTATTCTCATTCATAGCTTTATCCCAATTAATTAATTGATGTTTTTGTGTAATCACAAAATTGCTGACATTGGCGGAAAAACAACAACAACATTGATTCAGATTTGCTGTATTTTTATTATGTGATATATAATTAACATTTGATGATTTAAATAAAAATAAAATGACATTTAATACTTTTGAAACCCGAAATTCGTTTTTTTTCTTGCATTTTAATAGAGAAAAAGTTTTTCTTTTGATTTGAAATAAGGGAATCCAGAAGAAGAAGAAGAAGAAAATCTTTTGGAAATTTAATGGCTGTCAGGATTTTTTTCAAAAAAAAATTGAAAGTTTGGATTTTTTTTCTTTCAAAAATTGATTGACAAATATTTAGACAAGTTTTGATTTGATTGGTGGTGATGGTCGACACAAGCAAATCAAATCAAATCAAAACACAAGTCATATTTATGAATCAAAAATGTGTGTTTTATTATTTATTTTGGCTAAATCCAGTTTATTTTAATCAAAAATTTTTTTTTCAAATAAATTTTCTAGATCATCATCATCCATCAAATGTTACACACTATTAAGTCAATCAATCAATCAATCAGTCATCATCAATTCCGAAACCAAAAAAAAAACGGACAAAACAACAGCAAACAATTCATCAATGAAAATATATTTTCGTTCATAAGAAAATATTGAATGAAATAATCAGCATGCAAGCTTTTTTTCTGTTCATTTCATTTCGTATTGCATCCATTTCTCATCAATTTGATTCGGCCAACAACAACAATTCAATTCAATTGTTTTGTTTTGTTTTTTTCCAACTTTGAATGATGAATTTGTCTTCAAATCAAATTAATTGATGTTTGATTTCTTTCGTTTCTTTCGTTTCTTTTTCTATATTTATGTGAATGATTTGTATTTGTGGTAGGATATATATGAGTCCATCACATCATTGTTCAGTTTGACTGTCCATACACACACACATAATATTATTACATCCGTTCATCAAAATGAAAAAAAAATAAACTTTCAATCTACGAATATAGTCAATGTCTGATGTGATGTAATGATTTTTGAATGACGTTTTGTGTATATAATAATGAAATATATTTGAAATTTCAAATCAATCGATGATGAATTGAAAAAGAAAAGAATGAAAGAAAAAAGAAAAATACAACGGATGCAAATGAAACAAACAAAATGGACAGCCAATAAAATTTCTAATTTTCTCATTATAAACATTTAGCCAAATGTTTTTCTTCTGAAATTGAAAGAATTTAAACATTTTCTGTTTTTTGATGTTTTAGTGATTTATTTATTTATTTAGATTTTTTTTTTCTGTTGTAACAAAGTGTTTTAATTTCTTTCGTTTATTTTCAAAAAACAAAAACAAAAATTCTTAATTTATATTCAATCCGTTACTTAGTTACTTAGTTAGTTAGTTATCCTTGATGATGTGATTATAATCACGATAATTAACCATTTAGTAACCATCAACAGTGTGTGTGTGTTTGAATAATTAAATACATCCTAAATTGATTTAAAGTTTCTTCATTTATTTCTCGTTAAACATTTCACTGTTATTTTATTCAGTTTGAGAAGAAAAATGCCGACAAACCACACCACCACCATTAACACTTTGTTGCTACTGAATAATTACAAGGTTTTACCGTAATAATAATAATATGCTTACCATTTACAAACGGAAAAAACATAACTAAACAAGGCGGTGATAGTGATCAAAAAACAACAAACTACTATAACAGTTAATTATACGCTTTGGATATCCAACCAAAAAAAAAAAGTATCAATTAGTAACTAAACTACACTGACTTTCTAATACGCTTGTTGCAGCATGATAATGATGAAGATAAAGATTAACACGTGTTTATTATCATTATCTTTCCAAAAGTTTACACGTGTTTATCATATTATAGTGTCTAGTATACCATTCAAATTCAATAATATGATAATCGATAATTTCCAGAAGAGAAACAGAAAAAATTTTTCCAAATCTAAAGATTGATAATCATAATCAACAAAAAAAATCGATACATCATCAATATGATTTTTTGTTTTTTAGTATTTTCTTTCAAAATGACAAAACGATTGATGATGATAATGATCATCATCAACTTGATACAATCCAGCAAAAAAAAAAATCTATGGAATTTTAATGGTAAAAATGAGAAAAGAGAAGAAATTATTTGAAACAAAAAATAATAAAGGTCATTCAAAGAAATGAATAAATAATCGATTTTTTTTTCTTTCATTTGATTCATTTCTTTCTCTAGTTGTTGTTGTTGCTTGTTCATCACCATCAATATCTCGTCAAGTTGTTTCGTAAATGAAAGAAAGAAAATTCCATTTAATAATGAAAAAACAACGACGATCATTGAATGAATCGGGGCCCGAAAAATTTTTCTTCGTTCGTTCTTTCGTTCGTTTTGGTTTTCATTCATTTCTAAATGAATAAAACTTAAACGTCGTTTTTTTTGTTTTGTTTCTCTCTCTTTTACCTTGATCATCATCATTTGGAGAATGTGATCTGCATTCATTTTGACATTTTAATAAATTAGATTTTCATTACATTTATTGCATTCTTCGCTCGTTTGTTCGTTCGTTCGTTAAGTTTTCTCATATTTTTCTTTTTCCTTGGGTCTTGTTCTCAAGAAAATGTGAAATACACATAGGTATTTTTTTAAAAAGAAAAAAAAAGTAGGACGAATATGATGTACCCCACAAATAACGACCAAACCACAAATAACCATAAAGACTTTTTCTTGTGTGTTGGTAAAACGATCGATCGATCGATCTATCGTGGTTGATCGTCATTGATGATGATGATGATGATGATAATCAATCTGGACACGGTACGATAAACGATATTGATCTCTCTCTCTCTCTCTTACCTTGATGGTGGTGGTCACTTTTATTTTTTGAATACAGCGAAAACAAAACAAAAAATGATTGGCCCAATCAAATAGAGAGATTCTTATCTTTTTTTTTGAATAAATGGCCTTTACATATTACCTGTTGTTGTTGTTGATGACGATCGTTTTTTTTCAAAATTTCCAACAACAACAACAAGAACGTGTCCAAGAGATTTAAAAGATTTTTGTTTCGTGGTAGTTCTTATGACGATGATGATTGTCAATAACAAATACAGAGAGGGAGAGAGAGAGAGCTGAAGATGAATGTAAATAAAACAAAAACAACAACGAAAAAATTGATACAAAAGTGCCAAGTGGATTTGTTTTTGTTTTTTGTTTTGTTTTTTCGGTGAAGAAGATCACTTGAAATTCAAAATGATGACCAGAAAAACCAGAGAAAAAACCTAGAGAAAGGTCAAATGGTAAATTCAAATTAATGATGACCGTTATCATTTTATTTATTATCAGTCAGTTAGTTATTGGCCAATTTTCTAATACAGAGAACAATGAACATGAATATAATGTTACAAAGAAAAAAAAATCAATCAATTTTGGATAATAATGATCCACCACCACCACCATCATTATAACCATATGGTCCAAATACAATTGAAAATTGATATTATTTTCGTTTGTTTTGCTTTGTTTGGATGTAATATCATGTTTCCATTTACAATATGATATTATATGCATAACCAGAAACCACAGCAGCTAATAAATAAGAGATAATATCACCAAATCAAGATAAGCTTATAAGACTTTTATTTAAACCAGTAAAGGTAGATAGATTTACCTGATTTACAAATAAATAAATCGTCTCACCTTTCATTTGTTTGATTTACAAAGATTGAACTGCAGAGATTGAATGAAAGTCATTGGTTGATTGAATGTTTTTAGCAATTTTATCAGATTCATATTTTCGATCATTATGATTGAATTTGGGATAATTCATTGATGATGATGATCAAAAAATAGTTTGTTTTTTTTAGTTCAATAAACACAACAATGTTATCCATTTATACAACACAAGAGAGAAAAAAATCATTATTATTATCCAACGACAAATGATTGAAGTGTAAATAATCATTTTCACCTCTCACCTCTCTTCATTTATTCAGTTTTCACATCATAATCATTGAATAGAAAATGAATTGAATTTACCTAACTTGCTTGCTTGTTTTACATATGGAAATTTTTGTCTCAATTAGAGAGTACTAAATAATAATGATTTTGGAACCTTTTTTGTTTGATTTCATTGAATAATGAATAAAATCTTGTTTTTTTTTCAATGTGTGAATTGAATCAATAAATGAATGAATGAATGGACAATGTTATTCATTATTATTCATGTTTTTCTCTTGTTCACCGGATCATTATTTTATTTCAATTCAATTCAATTCAGTTTTTTGGTTCACAATCATAACAAAACAACGAGAAAATTACTGTTAGCCGCTAACACTAAGTAAAACTGTCACACTTTTTTCTCACTCTCTCTCTTTTCCTAGGACAAAATGATAATTCACACATTTGAATCAATGAATCAATGATTTTCAAAATAAGAAAAAAAAAATCTTTTCAAAATAGAAAAAATTGTATTTTTCCATGAATGAAATCCAACCATAGAGTCATCATCATCATCATCATATTTTCAAATGAATAATTTTTTTCCATTCATTCATTCAATGCTTTTTTGCTCTAGTTATCTCTCTGTCTCTGGGTTTTTTTGACAAAAAAAAATATAAAATCCATGTCAAACACACACACACAAGTCGAGTGTCCACACACAAGTACTTTAAATTGATATTTGTATAAACACTAACCAAAAAATAAAAACATTGCCGACATTCAATTGTAATATTTTTTGGCAGATTTGGATGGAGGTTTGTGATTTTTATTTGGTAAATAATGTCAGACAATGAAAAATTATTCGAGAGGACTCCTTGTTATTTGTGTGGACCCGACGACAAAAAAGGTTTCAATTCAAATGGTGTGATTGTGTCATTACAAACATCAACAACAACAACAACAACACATTTATGTTGTTGAAACATCATTGATGATGATCTCTATTTAAGAGTGGAAAAAAAATCAATAATAATCATCATCCACACATAAAGACATATAGACTATATATGTCAATATGGTTGATTTGATTTAGTTGAAAATCGATTTTGAAAAAAAATCCCTCTCTCTCTCTCTCTCTCTCTGGCTCGATGTAAATAATGTTTTTTTTCGAGTGTTAACAAAAATATTTATTTAGATTTTACAGTAAAGCTTGTTTTGGGTCTCTCTGTTATACATCTAGGATCTTTTGTTATATTTTCAAACAAAGAATGTTATTTTATTGTTATTATTACCGTTACAAGCTTATAAAACGGGACAATGTTCCTGGAACAATTTTCTGCTGTTGTTGTTGTTGTTAACCCAAAATTGTATAGTTGGTGTGTGTGTGTGTGTTGTCGGTCAATGACTATGACAACAACAACAACAACAACAACAAAAACCAGAAATAAATAGATGAAGCAAATTATAATATTAAATAAAGAAAGAAAAAGGAGGAATATTTAAATCATTGTAAATGGAAGTTGATGATGATAATGATGGAGATGGAGATGATTTCCATTGTTTAGTTAAACATTTGAAAGTTCAAATGGAAACAAATTTTCAATTGAATGATGAAATGCATGGTTTTCTCTCATTTTGTTGTTGTTGTTGTTGTTGGATATTACCTTGAATGTTTTTTTTTCATTTCTGGATAAATAAATAAATAAATCGATTGATGGCAATGACCACCATCACTATTTGAATTTGATTTTGCAGATGGTTTTTCGGACAGATTTGTTTGTTTGTTCCATTTCAATGAAATTTGTTTTGTTTTGTTTTGATTAGAAAATTTTTAATCAGCAGAAAAAAACTATAGAAAGAATTTTCCAAAGAAAGTGAAATAGAAAAAATTCATTGACTTTTTGCTTGGTTTATGACCCGAACCAAACCAAACCAAACAAACCAACAAAAACAAAAAAAAACTACCCGATTGATCGGGTAGATGAACAAAACAAAAACATGTATGCCGAGAGCATCATCATCAAATATTGAATCGAAAGTTTGAAAACCGAAAAAAAAATTTGAAATTTTATGACATAACTACCCTCTCTCTCTCTCTCTCTCTCTCTCTTGCTTCTTACTTGACCAGGTAAACAGGATTCGAAAGTAAAGAAAAAAGGAAAAAAATTCGCAAAATCAGGAGACTGCTTGGCGACTTTGATGATGATGATGATCTTTTCGTTATTTCAAAAAAAAAATTTCATTGCTTTTTTTTACGTTATATTTGGGTTATGTGTGATTTTTTTCACCGAAAAAAAATCTTGATTTGACTTGACTTGACCACCAGCTGTGATCGATATATATTTGTTGTTGTTGTTGTCCATCGGTTATATGATAATGATGACGATGGTCATAGACTTGAAGCCTATATTCCGAAAGTCGAACAGAATTGAACTTTGAATTTTTATTTTTTTCAATGTTGAAAAAATTAAAAAATAAAAATCACCTGAAATTACCTGAAAAAGAAGAATGTTTACCAGAAGAAAAATTCAAACATTCAAACATCTTTCTGTGAGGATCAAAAATCTTTGATCTGATCTATCTGTTATATCTCATCTAGATGTGTTTTCGTTTGTTTCATTATCACCATTTCTCTCTCTCTCTCTCTCTCTTTGGTTCTTTACGAGATTCGCATAGATTATGTTGATGATGAGGAACATAGAGAAAGAGAGAGAAAAAAAGTGCCAAACAAGTAGTTAATTGTCGGCTTACGGCTTTAAAACACACAAACAGAGAAAAAGATAATGTTTTTTCTCTCTCTCTCTCTCTCTCTCTCTCTCTCTCTCTCTCTGTTGATATGGCATCACACTTATTTATTTATTTATTTTATTTTCAAATCAAATGAAATGAAGAAATTCTTTTGAAAAAATTTTTAGTTTTCTTTTTTTTCATTGAATTTTTTCTTAAGAATTTTTCTTCTTTTTCTTCTTCATTTTCGTAATTTATGACGATGATGATGATGATGTTTTTGGTTTGAAAAATTATTTAAAAAATTTTGAAATTAAAAAACAAAACTACCACCAAACAGTTAATTGGAAGAGGGAGAGAGAGAGAGAATCATCCACGTTAATTGAATTTTTTCAGTTCTGGTTCTGGTTCTGGTGTGACATGCAACAAAAATGAAAATGTGAATGAAAGTCATCTGTGGTTTTGGTTGTCACAACCATGAATCGATCGATCGATTGATCGATCTTCAAAAATGATTATTGATTGGTTTTTTTTTCTTATTCTCTCCAGAAAAAAAGCCATATTCAAAACAAAAAATTTGCAAATTTGCATTCAATGATGACGATGATGACGTTCTTTAGTTTTTTTTCCATTTACCTTTTTGGAATTTTTTCATTTTATCGTTGTCGACTGACAACTTTAACCTTAACGATGATTAAAATTTCTGCTTCTCTCTCTCTCTCTCTCTCTCTTACTGACTGACTTATTCTCTCTCTCTCACTCTCATGTCATTCAATTTTACCCAGTCCTAAGTTTTAGTTAGTTAGTAAAAGTCCATGTTTAACACACACACAGGTGTTCAACAAAATGTCGAATCAAAAAAACAGAAAAGAAGAAGAAAAAAATCCCAAAATGAAAATGTTGTAAATTGTTTTTTTCATTTTGTTTTGCGTTTCATTTTCTTTGCTCGTCACATTTTTTTTTTGCTTTCTGTTGAAAATCCAATCGTAATGAAATGAAATAAAATAAATTTACCCGAAACAAAACAAAAATCAAATACTGTTTATATGAGAAAATCATTGATGATTACGAAATTTACTGAATATCTTTGGCCAAATATATATTCAGTTCTGTTCCAGATAACCAAGGAAAAAAAACATTGAAGAAACAAATTATTATGCACCAAACCATTATTGGTTTTGGCAACTGGAATCAATAATGTTCAATAGGAATTTTTTCATTAGCTTTTTCCTTCCTCACATTCAATATCATATTGGATGACATGTTGTCAGTCAATTTAAACTTTGAAAATGTTTTTTTTTGAAAATTATTTTTATTTTTATTTTAATAAGAAAAATGTTTTCGGTGACTTTTTTTCACTCTAAAGTTTTCTAGTGAATTCATTAATTTTCTTTTACTTGCTACGCAGAATAACGTAAGAAAAAATCTAATATTTTTCTCGGTGCTTTTTTTGAACGAAATTAAGGTGAAAAAAACGCCCAACCAAAATTGTTAATGATGATTAGGATGATTTGGGTAAGGTATTTTCTGTGAAAATAAAAAACATTTATCGTAAACATCAAATGTATGGAATGTGTGTTTGTGAAAAGAGAGAATGAAAAAGAAGAAAAAACGATCGATCGATCGATCGATCGAAACAATTTCAAATATTTTAAATGAAAATTTTTTTTCATTAATATCATTTTTCACCGTTTTCTGCGTTCATTATGTTTTCCCAATCGACCTTCAGTTGTCATCGAAAAATATTTGATTGATTGATTGTAAAGTAACAACAAGTAAGTTACAAACTGCTATTGCAAGATTAAGTAGTTTACGATGTGCTTTTGTATAGAAACGAATCACTTGTTCTGTATCATCATAATTAATTGTTTGTAAAAAATTTGCAGCCAATTTAAATACAATTTTATCACGTGCAACATTTGCAAATTGTATAATTTTATCTGATTGTCCAGTACGTATTAATGATTTCATTGAATCAATTCTTCTACCAAGTTTATTATATAATTTTGCTGCTAATTGATAATCACCTTTTTGTAAACATAATTCGGCAATTGTTTCAATTAATGATTGATTATCTGAATGTTTGGTTATAAATTGTTCTAATTTTTCCATTATTTGATCATTTAGATCGATACCAAATTGTTGAATTAATGAATTGATTTGATCAAATTGTTTTTGATCCGAAATCAATATTAAATCGATTACAATATCAATAATACTATTATCTTCACGTAGATATTCAATTAATAGATCAATATCATCTTGTAAAATATTAATTTGTTCATCTTTTTCTAATTCTTGATTAAGAATACGTCGAAGAAATGACCATAAACGATGTTTGATTGCAAATAATATTGCTTGTCGACAAAAATTTGCTTTATAATAAAGCATTGCCATATTTTCTTCACTAACCTGTTTATCTTCAAAATCATTTTCCAATGTAAAATATCTATTTATAATATTTTTACATTCATTTATCGATAGATATTTATTAGCAATCATAACTAATTTATCATAATGTTCATATGTAATTGCAACACGTATTGCATGCCGTATGGCTAAACATTGTAAATAATAATCAATTGATTGTAAACTATCAATCGATTCAAGATGTTTACCAAGAAAACGTATTGCACCTGTCCATTCGGCTGTTGATGATGTTTTTGTTGTTGTTGTTGTTTTATCGCCATCATTATCATTCGATTGTTGCTGTTGAAGATAATCATCAACCAATTCAATAGCTTTATCTTTTTGTCCAAGATGACATAATAACCGAACAAGATTATAATAATCATTTGCAATATGATACATTTCTAATGCAGTTGAATGATCATTTTGACTTTCACAATATTGTCCCCACCATGATACTAATTTTCGATCATATTTTCCATTATGTTTTTTTAGACAATAATTTTTTAAATCATTAATATTACCATTTTCAAATAACATTCGAACAATTTCATCAATATTATCTGAACGTTCAAAATATAAAATTGAATCCATCAGACGATTTTCCATTTCCATTTGTTTTGCATATTGATAATAAAGATTTTTTAGCTCAATTTTATCTGCACATTCAAATGCTTTTGACCATTTTTCTTGTAAACAATATAAACGACATCTTTTTGTTTGTGGTTGAATTTTTTCTAATTGTTCTTCCGATTCTTCCAATAAATCTAAATGTAACATTAATAAAAATTTAACAATATTTTCATCACCATTTTTTATTGCCATCTCTTGTCGTAATATACGTACTAAGCTAACATTACCCATTTTAGCTAAACAAATCAATGTCCAATCAATATTATTTTCCATAATAAATTTTCTGGCCATCAATCTCCATAGTTCATAATTATCATCCATATCATCATCATTTTTGGTTGAATCATCAAACAGATATTTTCTAAAATCATCATTCAAACTGTTAATAATCATTTTTTCAATAAATTCACGTTTTTTCAGATAATATTTTTGATGTTTTGAATTGATTATGGAAATATTATTATTTGATTTGAAAATGAATAGATCAGGTATTTTATATGCAATAAGTTGTTGATCATTTATCGATGATTTTTCATCATTGTTTCCATCATCATCATCATGAATGGTAATCGAATCATATTGATAACATTGTTGATTATCCGGTGAATAGAAACAAAAATAAAATGTTGGCCGGTTTGTTGATAAACAAAATGAATTCGAATGTATCGAATCAAATTCAATCGATACTATCGATAATTTTTTTTTGATTGGAATTTTATATTCAATCGGATGTTTATCATTATTCAAATCGATTAGATTGATCACGTTAAGATCATCATCTTCAATAATGAATGCAATCAATGTATTATTGACATTTGTTTTCAATGATTTTGATTGAATTTTTTTATAAATTTGCCAATATTTTTTACGTTTCAAATCTTTTGTATCTAATAATTGATAATATTGTATGATTGAATTTTGTTTTTTATTGATTGATTCAAATAAACAAAGAAGCATATCTTTGTTTACATAAAAATCACTAAGATGATAATGCTGATGATGATGATGATCAATCGGAATTGAACAGGTCATTTTGGAAAAATCATTTATCTGTTGTATTTGAAATTCTAATTTTTGTTCACGTTCATTATGATAACCCGACCATAATGAACCTAAATGTATAAATATTATTTGCCATGAATCATTTATTAATTTCATTTGATTATGATGTTCAATACGACGATTTATATTTAAATCCTGTATAATAATTTTATCATTATTATTATCCAATATGATTACCATTATGGAATCTTTTTCATTCATTATAAACAATTTGATTGATGAATCACATTTGACAATTTTTTCATTATTATTATTATCAATTTGATTATTTTGTTTACGATTTAGATCATCAATTGTCAATTGTGTTTGTTCAGACTATAATAATGAATTTTTTTTGAAAAAGAAAATGAATTAACAAAAAGGCCAGAATAATCCATCAATAATCTTTGATAGAAACAAAAAAAATGAAACAAACCTTAAAGGCTACTAGATTTCCTGAACGTTGAAATGTTTGTTGTTGTTGTTGTCGATGATCTTTATCCATTGTTTTTTTCTTAATCATTTTCTTGTTTCAAAGTTTCAATGTTTTTTCAATTCATCTTTGTCTAACAAATAAAAACACAAACACTCGCTGCATGAAAATTCATTTCGGTTGTTTTGTTTTGTGTTTTATTTCAACACAGAAATATCCATGTTGTCATGGAAACAACGATGGTCCATTATAGAAAGAAAATTATGAAATGCAAATTTAATTTTCAATTTTCAAATTTTAAATTACAATTTTTTTTGAGCATAGCATGTGTAAAACAAAAGAAAGAGAAAAAATTATTGATAATCAATCAAAATTCAGTAATTGTAAATAAGAAAAAATATTGTATGAAAAATGATTGTAATAAATAATAATGAAAAATATGAATAAAAATTATTTAGATAAAATGATTTGGTCATTAATGATTGGACATGATTTCTACTTTGACATTCAACAATCGACATTGCAGTCATAAATTCATGTCCAAGATATTTACGATAATCACGACGATCATCTGAAACGGTTTTTAATTTTACAGTTGAATCTTGAAATATAAGATTTTTATATTTTGGTCCGGATACAAACATTTTAAATGTAAATTCATTTGAATATTTTGAACCATAAAATTGTTGAGCATAAATAAATAATGTAATATAAGCTTCTTTTTGATAATATGGTTTAAATTTATTTGTAACAATTGCATTAGTTGAAACTTGTCCAAGATTACAACGGTTATAATCTTGTACTTCGGCACGTGATCCATCACGACATAACAATTCAAAATCATCAAGATATTTATTACGTGCCCAATATTCTGGATTAATACCATTAGTATTTTCGAAAATAACTGTATGTTTAGCAAATGCAACATCACCACCACCTTCAACTAAACATTGAAATGCACCATTATCACCATAAAATGGTTCGGATGAATCACGACGACAAAAACGATATGAATTACCATGACATAGATTGCAAAGATTATTATATTGCCAAACAGATTTACTTAATGGATAATATTCTGGTGCCAGTACACCGGGTATACAAGATTTGGAAAAAAATTGTGATGCTGCTTTTACCGGATCACAACGATATGAACGCATTCGTGAATTGGATAATAAAAATGCCATCGGTATTATCCAACCGGCAGCTGTTCGATAACCAGAATGACATGATTGTTTACCTTTTAGATAAAGTAAATCAGTTTCAAGATCAGCTTTTTTAGCTATTGCTACTGAATAATAACTATCATTTAGATTATTTTGTTCGGCCATTATTGGTTCTAAATTATATTGTTGTCCAGCCATATAAATATCGGCAGCATCCAGAACAGTGAGATCAGCCTGGCCTTGTTGAATTTTTTGCATACAATCAATTGTATTCAAACCTTGTACACATAATAATTGTGGTTGTAACATATTCGTACGGAATGCCGATTTCATATTATTACATTTTTTCCATTCTTCTTCCGAAACAACACAAAGTTTTGCATTCGGTACATTACATTTTCTTAATTTTCCAAATAAATTTTCAATATCAACAAATGGATTGAATAGACTAAAATAACCACGAAATGTTTGTCGATAACGATCAACAGGTGCTAATGATATTGTTTCATCGGAAAAAATAAAATCCATTCCATTATATTTAAATGAATCGAATAAATTGAATGATGATGGAGTTTGTCGTGACATTGGATCCATTCTATTTAAAGAAAATATTCTTGATGAATCCAATAGGAATTGTTGAATTTTATCTCTAGTTTCGGGTAATATTACCGATGATACTAGAATAGCATGTGGTGGTACAAAACCCCAATTACAATTTAGATAATTTTCCACCGATGTACGATCACCATTTGGACATAAAAGTTGATAATCTTGTCGTCGAATACGATGAATTTTAGATAATTGGTCGACAATTGTATGTTTCACGAATGCAACATCACCTTTACTACGTAGACAATTAAAGGCACCTTCAAAATTTGCATAAAAATCATTGCCCGAACATTTTTTCGATTCACAAAGTTGACAGATTTTCTGTGGATTCGTACCGATTGGATTATTTTTATCAAGCAATGCATTTGGTGCACAGCTTTCATTAAAAAAATTGGCAGCATTCTGTATAATATTATTACAATCAATAGTATCGATAAGATCTAATTCTAATAAACGTAAAATTGGTAATATCCAACCGGCTAATTGTCCAACACCACTAAAACATGCATTTTTATTTCGTAAATCTTTTGGTTCTTGAATGTATGTATAGGAATTTGCTTTTACAACAGCAACAGCATAATAACCGGTATTCGATTGATTTGTTGATGAACCACCACCAGAACCATATTGTTCATAAACAATCGGTACTAAACTATGATATCGTCCAGCGATATAAATTTCACCCGGTTCAGCACTAACTAAATGTGCTTTTTGTATTTCAATCAATTGCATACAATGATCTTTATTATCAGCTTCAATACATTCTAAATGAAATTGAAAACGATAATCATTATCCACTGATGTTGACCAATCACGACATTTATTCAATTCATTTTGATTAATTGTACAATATTTTAATGTTTGTTTTTGTGATGATACTATTGATTGGATTGGATTGAATGAATCAAATTAATCTGTGAAAAAAACCAAAAAAAAAACCTTACCTGATTGCTGAATAATGACCAGGATTAATAATAGGAAATTGATTATTATTGATTGATTTGGCGACATTTTTTATTTTTCATTGATCATAAGAACATTATCACCATAATCAAATAAGAATTTAAGAAAATATTTTTTAGCATTGTTTATGACTCATGAATATTGGCAGCTCTCTATGTTTCTCTCACCTTGTCACACTCATATACCTGGCTTGATTCTTTTTTTCTTTACCTTTTTTCCAATATTCAGGTTTTATTCGTTTGAATTTATCTACATTGTATAAAATGGGCAATTCAAATTTGCCAATTTTATATGTTGTTATTTTTTCATTACGTGGCTCTGCAGTGTGTGTGTGTTAAAATATATTGGTCATATGTCAATTTTGGTTAAAGTATTCAAACAGAATTTTGTTTGAAAAGAATTTGTTTTCAAATATGAATCGAATTTATATTATTATCATTTCATCGATATTATATCAATCAACATTGGCATTATATTTTCATATTGGTGAAACAGAAAGAAAATGTTTTATTGAAGAAGTTCCTGATGAAACTTTAGTTGTCGGTAAGTTTTTGGATTTAAATTCACTGGGGTTTTAAAGAATAAATAATTTTTTACTGGATTAAAAGGAAATTATAAATGTCAATTATTCGATCCAAATACTGGTGGTTTTATGCCATCAAGTCCCGGTATTGGTATGCATGTTGAAGTTCGTGGTCCAGAAGATAATATTATATTATCGAAAGCATATTCATCCGAAGGACGTTTTTCATTTACATCACATTCACCGGGTGAACATATTATTTGTTTATATTCAAATTCAACACGTTGGTTTGCTGGTGGTCAATTACGTGTACATTTAGATATACAAGTTGGTGAACATGCAATCGATTATCAAAATATTGCTCATCAAGAAAAATTAAGTGAATTACAATTAAGAATTCGACAATTATTGGATCAAGTTGAACAGATTACTAAGGAACAGAATTATCAAAGAGTAATTATTATTTTGTTTTTGTTGAAAAATTTTCTAAATTTGATTCTAAAAACTTTTTTTTTGTTGTTTCTGTATTTAGTATCGTGAAGAACGATTTCGTGCAACAAGCGAAAGTACCTATTCAAGAGTATTATGGTGGTCATTATTTCAAACGATAATCCTATTGGGTATGGGAATATGGCAAATGAAACATTTGAAAAGTTTTTTCGAAGCTAAAAAACTTGTATAATTTAGAAAAAAAATGGATGAAATTTTTTTTTTTAATTATTCATTTTTGAATAAAAAGATTGATGAATGATAATTAATTACAAAAAAAAAAAAAAAAAAAAAATTACAAAAAATAAAAAATTTTTTTGGTTTAGTTTCCTGATCGGAAA